ACACTTGCGGTTGTGAGTACGATAGATCTTCGGGTGATCGTCCTAACGCAAGTGAGCTGATTCTCACCGCCCCTCGAGCAATCAACGACCATGCCTCCCAAAAAAAGGNTCTCTCGGGCGCTCTACACGTAGAGCTCGGCCAAAGAGGAGCTCTCATTCTGTAGACACGTCTGAACAAAGGCAGACTGGATTAGCTGCGAAGCGTTCACGGACCGCCGAAGCCCGTGCGCAACAAACAGAGGAGCAACGCAGAGACACAAGAGAAACCGATCGTTTGCGTACGGCACGAGCTCGCTCTGGAGAGACAATGGAGAGGCGAGCGTCTCGGTTAAACTCAAGCGCACGGCTGCCGCTCGAGCTCGCTCGCAAGAATCTGAAGAGCAGACGAGAAGCAGACTCGCGCCTAACTATTGAACTGGGTGACTTCTGATTTCCAAATCAGACAGACGTTATCAACGATTAACGATCAATTAAGGGACTCACAAGGATTGAGAATTGAGAAAACAAAACCAGAGTTCTTCGACCTCAAACAACGCAACAGCGCGGAGAGGCGGATGATGGTCGCGGCAACGCGCGACGAGCACGGCTAGTAATCAATAGTTGCCTCAATCATATGTTAATCTAGGTTGGAAAGGAAAGCGCGCAATGCCACAACCGATTATTGACAGAATATATTCCTTACTCCCGATGATGTCGAATACGACTGAGTGACTCGATGAAGTCAACTCATTATCAGGAACTGAGATCATACCACTGGTGAGTCTACGACTATGACCGTCTTCAAGTGATATTCCGGAGGGGGGATTAGTCGATTCGAACTCCGATAGGAATATTCCTCACGAATAGCTCAGATGAGGTCGAGCGAATGCTGGGATGATGCGGCCTTCCTTCGAATCTCGAACTCCGGATTTCGTTTGGCGGTGCCGAAAGATTCCGAAATTCGCCCCGAAGAAACCGCCCCTAATCGTGGCTTTAAGCGAAACCCAGGGTCTCTCCGATGCTGCGATTGTATAACACCCCATTAGGAGCGACCCCTCCTCCTCACTACCGATATGCACCGGTGGAGAGAGCCACGAAGAATGCCCCCCGATTACCGTCCAAGGGGTGAGATGCGAGCACGCCTGGACCTTGGAATTCATTCCGAGTCGAGGAAAGGGCATTCAGGTACTCCTTATAAGCGGCTCACTGGACTTCACGGCCCATTCTGTCTCATTTGCTCGTTCAGTGCACGCTAGAATTTCCTAGATCAAGATGTGTATCTCAGACGTGTCATCTCTTCCTCTGTCGACTCCCATCGACCACAAGAGATACTGCATCAAGCCCAAGACGACTAATCGCGACGCCCTAAAGCCCCAGGCCATCGAGGTGCCGCTCTCCGAACGTATCATCGGGCCAGGTGAGGACGTGTTGATGGGACAAAGCGTGCGCGCTCCTCATCACGATTTGATGCTGGTCTCTGCAGAAGGCAGAATCCTCCGCTGCCAGAGGGGAGTTTTGGTGAGATGCAGCCGGGGCATCCGAGACTTCCTCAAGCAGTCTCCCGGCTCTTCCGAGTCCCCCTTGTTCCTCACAAAGATCTCCGCAGAATCGCTCGGGAAGATTCTGCACTTTCTCCTCCGCGGGAGAATGAGCCTGAGCGCTGAAACTGTGCAGCCAATATTCAAGGCTGCGCTACACCTTGGAATCGACAGTGTTGTTCGAGTGTGTACGGATTTCCTTCGAGCGCGACCGATCGAGTTTCTGGACATCATACTACATCTAGCTCGATGCCACCGGGAAGTCGAGGATATCGCCGAAGAAGCGCTCAGATCCGTGTGTAGATCCCCCCGGGAGCATTGTCTGACCTTGGCCCGCCTCGATGGCTTCGCGCTCTCGAGAGTCCTTGTGCGGGACGATCTCGAAGTTTATTCGCAGGAGGAAGTCGTCGATCTGGCCATCCGGTGGAGGAATCAAGGAAGACCTCGACTGCTCGGAGAAATTCACTCCGTTTTCTCGGCAGTACGCCGAACTTGCCTCAGTACTCGGAGGTGGGATGGAGTCCCGCGCTTGATGGCCACATTCGACGATGTTTGTCATCTGACCGTGGGTGGGCTCAAAACGTCGATCGCAGCCAAGAGCCCGAGGGGATCCTACGCGCCAAAGAAGTCATGGGCAGACTGGTTTTGAGGGCGTGCCTCTTCCATGTGCCCAAGTTCTGTTCTGTAACGATTGTATATTCGAGCATACACATATTGTAAGCATGAGACGCCGAGGAGCTATGTGAAACAAAGAGAAACGATTTGAGGATAGAAAGAAACGAGTTCTTAGTCACCAAGCGGATTTTGTTCCGAACTCAGACCATCACCTCGGAATTAATATCTTACAATTACCTTAGTCGTTTTACGTCATCGCTTCCAGAGATACGAAGAAATCACCATGGACGATTGAATTCCGCGCTCAGCGGTCTCCTGCGAAAATCTGACCGAAAGCCCGGGCCAATCATCGATTTTATGACTTCACAGGAATGACACGTCGCTGTATCTGCCGTACATCTTCCCTCCAACGTACGATCCGAGACTCTTCAAATCCAACACTATCCGCTCTCTCCCTTCAGGTAAAGAGCTGTAGGTTTTTTTAGTGGGTATTATGTACATGAGCCCCACACTCCGGTTGAATTTTCCACTCTTCTGGGTAGTGCGTCAATGCATTTTTTCCTTTGGCTCTTTTCCTTTTCCTCCTACCTTCCCCTCAGTCCCCTCCCCCTTTTCGTGTCGCAGTTCCTTTTGAGAATTATAGGGTCACCCCTTTGCGAGCTGCCACACCAAAAAAAAAGAAAATACATCGATTATCTCCATTCCAAGCGCCCTCTTTATGTAGTCCTCGAGATGACGATGCTCGGCGCTGGCGACGGTGATCATGCGCAGAACCGAAACCTTCCATAAGATTTCATCGCCCACAAAAGTCACACTTAGACTGACCCTGAGGCTAGGCCCTTCTCATCGACCCAAGTTCTCATTTGAGGAAATTCCACTGTATGTATTCAAGCTCCATGTGCCCATGGGATGCATGGGAATACGAGAGGGGGAAATTAAAAACTTCTTCCCCCACGTCTTTGAGGGTTACGGAGCCTCGGATCGCAATTTTCGCCATTTTCCGGTATCGAGGAAAATAGTGTTCCCCGGATGTATTTCTCTGCGGTATGAGATCGGCAACGGCGCACAGTACCCTGAGTTTCTCCAGTCTCTCGAGTGGTGTCACCTTTGTTTGGCTAATCTATCACGGGATCAATCACGGAGCCATGAGGGTCGGGGAGAAGAAGGAGCAGAGTGCTTATGCGGACGCGAAAATGGAAATTAGGAGGGGTCATCGGTCATATATTTTTTCGAACCTCAAAGCCTATGAGAAGGATGCTTTCGAAACGGAGGACCAGGCTCCTCATCCTCATGGGCATGAATCGAGCTGGAACTATTACCCCTCGGGGAAGCCCCCGGGAATTATGGGACAATGTGGAGGATCGAGAAAACGGGGAAGGAGGTCTCCATCTCACAATTTTTTCAGCCTCCATCTCTTCCTGAGAATCTTCTCGCATTGAGCCTCCATTATGCATTCTTTCAACTCTTGGGGAAGTACGCTCATTCATCGAGAAGAATAAAGATCAGTTCTCATTTCCGAATTTCTCGATGGTGCGGAATTTATTAAATGAGAAAAAGAAACTTTTCCGGGCCGAACCTCTTTACATCCTGTACTTTCCATGTGATGTTTTTTTCTTCGCCTCCGAGGACTTAGCAAAGTTCTAACACCAGTCTCATGTCACCCAGGGGACATGTGTTTTAGAGCTGAGAAGTGACCCGTATAGACAAGCACAGGTAATTCTTTTCTCTCACGATTCTGTCGTGGCACAACGCGTCCAGGGACTCGAGATCGAGGGCCATTATGAAATCGCCATCCTCGGTCGGTGGGTCGGTGCTGCTCAGCAAGATATCTCTGGTTTCTTGGCCTACGCCAACCGCAAGATTAAACGCGAAAGGCCATGCAACAACTGTGGAGCTTGTGCTTGGACGATGTTCTTTGAAAAACACTCGGAGCTTGTGATTCGTTCCGTGCCGTCGACTAATCTCAGCGTAGAGACGGAACTCGTGAGACAAGAGCGTGAATTTCTCCGAAAGGCCTAGAGAAACCAGTCTCTCGCCCTTCTGAGCACGCCGAATTTTCTCGGAGACGTCGTAGAAATATACGAAATGAGCAGAATCATGGAAGCGACGCAGTTGAAAGAAGAGATTCAACTCGTTCTCACAATGTGCGATCAGCGAGGATTTCATCTCTTCGAACGACACCTTATGATCCTTGTGATTTCGGTCCAGCACTTCCAGAGACCCGATGGAATTCGAGAAATTCTGCACCTGGCTGAGCTCAAGCTGTTCACTCTCTGAGGATCGTTTGTGAACTTGCCCAATGAATTCGGGGAGCACTCCGGAATTCATTTTCCACCGTTCGGACATTGCCTCCACAAGACTTTCGCTCTGCATTTCAGTCGCGTTTCTCGGGTGCCTAGACGTTATGGGGCCGTAAAGCTCTTGCTTTCGGCTGACTGCACGCGGGATTGAGACAGAGGCCCCTTCAACGGAGCGTGGACTAGTTACCGATACGATTTGGAGGATTCACGGCCAACGCATCGAGTCACTATTGTGGATCTGCGAGTGATCAATCGTAGAGGCAAGCAGATCTCGCAGACGACAGCGATTCTTGCGTATTCACATGAGCTCTCGGCTGGATCCTGCCCTGGATACTTTGAAGTCGGGGAGGTTCCTGGCTGAACCGCCCCGATTCGTGAATCCTTTTAGCGTGGAGAGATCCGCTGACGGGTTCCGAGACTCAAACACGATTGAATTCGACGTACTGGCTCTGGGACAACGTTCCTTCGGTAGCTGTACAACAACTCCCGGGGGAGCGACCCGATCGACACAGTCGCCCGCGGATGCAGCAAACAAGATCATCGACTGAAACGAGCCATCACTGTGTTTACACTGCCGGCGGTGTAGCGGCAAGGGCCAACTCGCGGAGCCGAGTTGCCTGTTTTCAAGTTCTGTTGTGTTAGAAATGAGGGGAGCATGATTCCCAAAAGATAGATCACCGAAAAGTCACTCCTCGTACTGGCATCACCTGCTCGAGACGCTGTCCGGTCAAGTGATATTCATTCGGTCATGGGCGACGAGGACAGAACGTTGTGGGTCGGGAACCTCTCGGAGAATGTTGATGAGGATCTCCTTTATGAGCTCTTCCTTCAGGTAGTGTACTGAATTTTCCGGATGCTACTGGAGATCCATGAATACTTGGAGAGCGACAAGCGTCAGAGAACCCATCGCCGGACCGAAATCGGTGCACACTGCGAAATGTGATAGCCAAGTGGCAATACCGTTGGGTCTCGAAACGGTTTCCGCGATAGCTTGGATCGGTGAACTTCCAGCCTCGTTGAAGGTTGCTTGATCCATCCCCTTGATATCCAAAGCGCTCTCATTACAGGCCGGCCCCCTCCAAACTGTCACTGTTAAGAAGCCCGCCAACGGCCAAAACCCATTCGGTTTCGTGACCTATCAGCACGAAGAATCCGTGGCTTATGCGATCGTATTATTCGAGGGTACTACGCTTTTCGGTAGAGTCCTCAACATGAGAGAAAGGTCCGCAAACCCCGACGGCAAATATAAACGTCTCATGGCCGAGTGAGTAAGCGCGATATTGTTTCCGATTGTGATGCTCTCGCGAGAGACCGGATCGCCATCATCGCCCCGCGCTATTCGTGAACTGCTTGACGCTCATATCTCGGCTTTCGCGATCTTTGGAGCGATGTCGGAGAACCCTCCGAAAGAGACTAAGCGAAATAGCCAGAGGCCGTCATGCTTTCCCTCATGCTGAAAAGCTGAAATCCGAATAATTGAATCTTCCTTTGAAATTAATTATCGAATCTTCCTGTCTTTCAGTTACTTGCGTGATCGAGAACGTTCCCACCGGGAAGACCGTAGGGTCTCACATCCTCCGAGAGACTTCGATAGACCTCGCTACCACGACTCACCGAGACCGGACAACTTCAGCCGGCAGCCCTACGACTTCGATGCGCGTCAGGATCGCGATTATCGAGGCCAAGATCGTTACGACGATCGGAAACGCCATAAACGCTTCAGGAACTAGTAGTTAAGGAAGAATTGAGACGACAATCGATCCGGTCAGATAAGCTTCGCCATCGAAGGAGGCAATTGTATGCTCGAGGTAGTCCTTGTTTTCTTTGATGATTTCTTTAATGCCTATCTGACTCTTAGAAACTGCATCGATTGCGTGACCATCGATTCTCCTCGGGTTTTTAGCTCATGCAGCATGCATATTCTCCCAAACTAGCAGCAATGAGTCAAGGAGGAGATGCGGCGTTTCAAAGGGAGCTGAACTCCCTGTCAGCGTCTGTTTGTATATACGCATTTTTGCGCATAAATCTCGATATTTTGTACCGAGACTCGGCCAAAGTGTATAATCGTATTCATTAAGTACATATGCTCGTCAACATGGAATAAATCTTTAATGATGAAAGATCGAGCTTCATGAGCTTAGTGAGAGAGGACGCCGCCGATCCAAGGAGACGACGTCATCTTTCTCCGAAGTCAAGAATCGGAATATTCATACTTCGAGTCCCCAATAGTTCTTCATCAACGAGCCTACCCAGGACTTCTTTGTTCTGCCCGCACTTCTAATCGGGACATGCTGGTCGGGCGAGCCATTGTTCTCTCGCCGAATTGGGGTGGGTGAGGTATCCTTGCTCCGAACCTTTGTTCCTTGCATGGACATACGACGAGCATGAAAGCCGCGGAATACCACGAAATCGATCAGAAGGAAGCTTCTCTGTTCCCGACGATCGAATGGGACATCCTCTCAATCAAAGTCACCGGTATCGGGGAAGAGGGGGGGCGGAGGTGATTCTCTAGCGATATAATATTCATATCATCATTGACGGTCTTGAGCCCGCCGCGCAGGAGCATCTCCTGAGCTTGTCCGCTCCGTATCGAACCGAAAACTAGGGCTCGCATTCGATGGCGGACTCTCAGCAGCGAGCTGTAATCAAGGCCGCAATTGTTATCCCGCCGTCAAAGGCGACGGATCGACGTGCTTTCTCGTGTCAATATCCGAGGATATCCGTTTCGACCCATACGCTGCTCAAAATTCAGTTGACTGAAAACTGCTTGCGGGGTATCGACTGTGCGATCATTTGCCCGTTATGTTATCCGCGTTCAGCGAAGGAAGCTGGATTGCTTTCCGATGGACAAATCGTGCGCGGGATCCGCTTCGAGAAACTTGTCACAGCCTCCAATCAGATCTGCTGTGAAGTGATGTTCATTGCCTTGCAGATGCGTGTGACAAGAGACTCAATCTCCTTCGGATGCACTCACTCGTTCGTGCTGTGGCCAGTCCTTTTCGTGGGATGTGCAATCTCGGCAACGAAGATGCGAAGCGGTCACTGGCACGGCTCACATTTTTATCCGGATTTGAGGAGTCTCATGAATAGACAGTGTGGCGACTCGCGTTATATCAATCTGATTCTCTATACCAATTCAAGCATCAGAAACTTGACGAAACGGGACTGCGCAAGCGCGGTGCTCACCCTCCAACATGCGAGCCGTGAAGGCCTGCACTTCGTGAACAGGAAGAGCTTCGACTCCGACGACTCTTTCACCCCTCTCTACAACGTAGTTGGGTATAATGTACCGCCACAACTCGTAATAGACGCGCTCGACGAATACTCCTTCCTGCAGAGACACGTGGATTTCGGCTGTTTTGTTTCCGTCGATCGAGCGGAGCGTTTGAATGAAGCGCTGGTGACGAGCATTGATGTCATTTGCTGCCAAGCTCTCTTCATCTATGACATGATGTCACTCGACAGCGACGTCATACAACAATCACTGATCGAAAGTTTGGTGGTAAAAGCCTCCGGCTACAAGTTCGGAGTTTTTATCTTGAGTCGATCGGCGAAGCGCGTCTGCTCGATGTGTGGAGTAGCTCGGTCCGTTATCGCTGGCTATGACTTCACTTTCGACGCTCCCGAAAGGCTCGAAATATCGTTCGTAAACTGCACTCCGCATTTCATCGTGGGCTTGGAGAACTCGACGGGCGTGACCAGGTACTTCCCACTGCATGGAACCGAAACCTGGCTACTCAACGACTCGGCTACGTATTTGAACTTCTCGTACCGACTCACTGAAAACCGGGAAAAAGTTTGGGGGAGCCTTTCAGGGAAAGGCCGCAATCGATCGTGGAACGGAATGGTGGGCGATGTTTTCGCACGGACCGTGGACCTCGCCGTTACTGAAATCAGCAATACTTATGCCAGAAGCCAGGCTATACAGTACACTAGGATGTTCGTGTGGGAGAAATCTCTGTTCGTGAGCAAGAAAGGTTCGCAGATCCCGTCTGCCTCGGCATTGTGGTGGCCCCTGGATCGACTCTCCTGGTTTCTGACTCTTGCCTCGCTCATATTCTACTCATTGGCTGCAGCAGCCCTGGTTCGCTTCTACGACAAAACTTCGATACCTCAGCTCAGTCGGGACAACATCGTCCTGCCCAAGTTTCGCAAATTACCTCCAGCAGACTTCTTCATGCTGGTGTCGACTCTCGCAAGACAGTCGCACCTCGGTTACCGTGAATACGAGACTCTAAGCTATAAGGTGTTCATGACGTGGTGGTGGATTTTCGTACTGATCATGACGAATGTTTACTCGAGCCTGATTCTATCGTTCATGTCCGTCCCCGTGTTCCAGCCGGGCGTCGACACGTTCGACGAGCTCCTGCGTGAGATGAAAGCAGGCAGGATGACGGCTGGCGCCCAGAAAACAAGTTTCGGAAGTGCTATTCTTCAGACCTACGACAAGCCTGTGGCCGAATACATCGAGGCCAACTTCTTCGGTCCGGAATGGTTCCCGGAGGAGCGAGCGAAGGGGGTTTCCATGGCCGCTGACGACAGCATCAACTACGCTTTTGTGGACATGCAGAATTTCGTGACAGCAATCATACGTGCCAACAATTGGCAGCATAAGCTGCAGCTGAGTAAGAGTTATTTCAGCGTGACCGGCAGTAGCTGGGTTCTTCAAAAGCGTTGCTTCATGTTGTCCCACTTCAACGATTTCATACGCAGAGAGATGGAGGGAGGTCTGATCGCCCTGTACTTGGACAGGGCTCTCGCGGCTGGCAGCCAGGGCAAGAAGATCGTGAAAGTTGCTGAAGCCATAGATTTCTCAGACGTATTCAGTCACTACTGCCTGTATGGCGCGGGGATAATTCTATCATGTATGTGTTTCCTTTTAGAGAAAGTGTTCTTCCAGTGGAAGGACAGGAAAAAGTCACACCCATGGGAATCGAGAACCGCATCTAATGCAAGCTGTGGAGCTCGGTGAACTGCAAACGAGTTACGAAGCATTCGGCTCTCTATTGACGAGTGTGCCGAGCCGTACCATTGGGGAGACATCGGTAGTCAGAGAAACAGTCAATGGCTTCATGGTGAAGACTTGGACGCTTGTAAAGTGCTGCAGAAATGCGTCGGGGATGGGAGCCGTTGGCTCATTCACGATGCCGCGACACGCGGATGTAATCCCGAAGTAGAGCCGATCCATTGACAGCGCATCCCGGCTTCCTGTTCGCCTGGTCGTCCTGTGTAGGGGAGCCTAGGAGGTGGTATCAGGACAGAGGAGGAGAGAAGAGTCTCAAGAAGGACGGGGAGACTACCACTGGGTTTTTTCCGCGAGAAGTTCCAAAGCCTGTATTCTCACATGAGATTCGGGATATATTGTGCCGGATTCCGGATTTCCCAACGAGCCTGTCACGGTCAGACCGGCGGAGCTCACGATATAGCGATTCATCTCAAGTCAAGCGTTTTCCGCAATGGCTCATCTGAACTCTAATAAAATAGGGAGAAGGGAACAATATGTTTCCTTAGGGCGGGAGTCAGAGTGAAGGATTAGAGGCTTCATTTCCACAAACAGAGAAGGCGGGTAAACTCCAAGCGTCCACCAGGTCTACAAACTTCGCATGAAGTTGGAGCAGACCGATTGGGAAGAGCAAGAGTACCCTGCGAAGTCGAAGAGGCGCTTTCTTGATGCTCAAAGAGCTTCAGATCTCAACTTGTAGCCGAGCTGAGAGTAGGATCGCCTGCTCCGCAGATTGGCGACTCCGACGGAGACTGACATTTTCAGCATCTTCAATCAAAACCACTTAACTTCTTGTCTACTTCTGTGGAGGCTTTCCGCAGGATCCGATGGGCGCAGGCGGAGGGGCTCGAGGTACCTCAACCCGATGCTGAAAGTTTCCGGGTCTACGGAACGAATCGTGGACGAGAGGTCTGAACCTCCTTTCGACAGTCTAACTGCGCCGAGCGCTTCGCTACTGGTTCTGGGTTACTGTACAAAAGAATCGAGGGACGACTCTGCCTCTGAAGTGTCTGGTCGCCAACGATCATGGGGAAGAAGACGCATGGGCTCGTGAGCGAGGCAACAGGTCCAATTCAATCAGGACCAACCTGATTCTGAGAGCAGATGTTGCAAATAGAGCATGATAAACCATCACCGTGGAGCTGCCGAACAGGGTGGTTCTCTTACTTCGTTACCTACATCGTGATTTCAGCAGAGATCCCCCATGCGGGGGTATAATAATGGGTCAGTTAATTGCATCTCTCGTGACCAAAGCAGAAAACGTTGTTTCGTCTCCGGACACGAAAATGGCTCTCAGTTTACCCAGCGAATTGCGACCTGCTATATCTTCCCTCGCAAGAATGAGATTCGGAATATCCAAATTCGCGAGTTCCGACATTCTTCTCTGCACCGTCGCGAACATAAACATATAGGCTGCATTGAGGACAAAAATCTTCCTCTAGGGTCTAGTCTAGAAGCTAGAAGTAAGATCGGATCGCGCGATGAAAATGGGGTCCCATTGATCGATCTAGCTCTAGATGATCAAGAACTTAGAGAGACATACCTCCGTTGGCTCCATTCGATCTCCTGAATCCATTCCATCGACTCGTCAGCATAAGATGAATCTGAAGCATAAGCGTGATGGAATATGACTTATGACACAGGCGACCATATCCTGATATGCCCGGAGCCGGGCACAAGCGGAGGCGTTGCTGCTCGTTCTGAATCGATCGTGGCATCTCGGCCGTGTGGGTTGTCAAGAAAACTAATATCGAAGATCCTCGGTTCGAGCCCGGAGGGTTCCTAGCTTCATCTGATAACACAGAGCGCCTCAATGAAGCTTTGCAATGATCTGCATGCGAAAAGCGGTGATTCGCGCTTCGCGGAGGTCCGCGCATCCGGACGCCACGAGGCGCCTTTCCGACCGAGACTACATGATTGAGAGGAACAGGTCGTGATCGAGGCATTCCTGCCTCAATCTGAAAAATTGCATGTCGATGGGGAATATTGATTCTCCAGTCGAGACTTCAATGCCTCGTCGCATCCTCGGATTGTGCATCGTAGAAAAGTCTCAACTGCGCTGACTACTGACGATGATAAGCCTGGCAGCAAACGTCATGCGCCAAATCATCAGCTTCACTGTGCTAACCCGAGAGAGCGACGTTTCGGCACGTATACAGCGCTACGTACTTCGAGGAGGGCGGCGTGGTTCTGCTGGTCTATATACATGCCAGATGAGAAACCTGGAGAAAATATTTACCCTCGTGACCGAAACTGGAGGCTTGTTAAAGACGTTCTCCGTCTCTTATGCCCCCACGGATAATTCACATCTACATACTGGGCTGGACTCTCGCTCCTATGTATTGCTTAAGGCAATCTTCCAGCTCAGTTTTCCATCTGGCTCTCGCTTCGGTGATCCTCCAAAACCTCACACAGGAGGGAGTAGGCCGAATCTTTAATGGAATGCTCGAAGCGCGAGTAGCCCGCTCGGTGCCGGTTGCAGAGTATTAATACGGAAACATCAGAGATTCGAAAACATGTCTCCTTGGGAAGGTAAGTTCCGTAGGAGTTTGAATCACGACAAGGTCTGACGGTGCAAGCAAGTGGTAGGAAATTAGCGTTCCTTTCGAGCTCGGGAGGAACTTCATCGCGGGACGTTTCTTCAGCCCCTAATAAGGGTCAATCCACCGCGAGACGGACCGTCTACTCTGCTCTACACCCTACCGCGCCGCATGGCAGCTGTGGTTCTGGGGCTCATTTGTCTGCATCGCACCATGATGACACCTACCAGTGATGGGAAGCCATTCCTTAATCTCAACGATCAATGGAGCTCGATACTCCCTCCGGAGCTATCTTTCGGACCGTATCGACGGAAGGTCAACATGTCATAGCAGTCAGCAGAGGATTCCGGTATCGGCCGAGTCTCTCGATCGCTCCTTCCCGTGTATGAGTTTCTCCTACTTGAGGAGCCATCGATCCGCTCATTTCCACTCCCCCACAGGATTTTCTTCAGCTCAAGAGAGGAATTTGTGTACACCGTTCGCCGGGGTGAGCAACAGGCAAAGCTCGAATAATTATCCGCATACGTCCGTTCGAGCCTGATTTCCCTTGATCCCTCTATATTTCGCTCACTTCAGTCAATGGGACTACTCACTTCGATCAAGCCAGATGTCTCTCGCGTGGCGACATTCGGCATTTGTTGTCGCTTCCGTAGAAGCCCAGGCCTCATTGACGCCAAATGGCTCTGTTTGTTCGAATATCCCCAGATCAAGGAGATACGTCACGTCCCGCTCACGCATTTGCTGCGTTTCGAGGGGCGCTCGTCGGCTTGGAGGAGTGGTATTGGAATACTGTCTGTAGCTGTCACTCATCCTGATGCGGTGCTTGCCCGAGTCGCTCGAGGGATACATCTATGATATAATGCGTCGAGCTAATTTCTCATGAGCTTCCTTCTCTATAAAAATTCTTTCATTCATCCCCTCCAGAGACTGCCAAGCGTGTAGGCTTCTCCCAGACGAGAACCCCTGGTCAAATTACTCCCGGCTGACAGCCATCGCATTCTTGGATGTCCGAGAATCAGCGGACTTCTCTGGACGAGATCTCAGATCGACTGCTAGACTTCCCGGCTCGATGATGGAGTTCAACTCAGAAGTAGGATGAGGAAACGTCACTCCGCGGAGTCCGCTCCGACTCACGATGGACTACGCTTTGAATGGCGGATCGGATGAGGAATCATTAGGTGGATGATTCCACACAAGTTTCACGATGTATGATACCAGACATTCAATCATATCCTCAATAGCATCACGACGTCATAGATGAGATATCCTATCTAGTAATAAACAACAATGTGACGTTCTATCAAGATATGTGTACCTATGATTTGTATCACCGATATGATTATCGGTAGTCGTTATTCACGCGGGATTATCGGTCAGAAATCATCAGCGAATGATGGACTTCAGTTGTGTCCGGAACCCGCCTATGCCCGAATTTGGAGCCCTGGCCGACGAATTTCGCCTGAATGCACTTGAGTTCTGTGCGACGCATTCTGGACGTGTCGAAAGATCCTTCCGGTCGCTGTCGGATTGAGAGAATCGCCCCGAAAAAACATCTATCATCGCAGTAGCGTGCAGGCCACCGTATTCCGAAGTTCTCATCGACACACTGCTAAGTTGCCATCGTAGAATAACGCCCAATTTTCGAGAAGCTCGCCAGAGGGCGCTCAAAGCACGTTCACTTGTTGCTCAGGACATCTCCGTCAGAGTATCCTGAGCTGTTGCAAGAAGACCGTGCCTCCTGCTCACCGCGCCAAGTATAAGTTTCGTCTCACGTGAGAGGTTGAGTGGCATTGCTTGTGATTTCCGTGACTGACTCGGGTCCAATTCAACAAAACCAGGCTCCAAAATCTACCAAGTAAGATAATTATCCATGTCCCGGAAAATGGCCCGATACATGGCGGGGACCGGCTTGTTTCCTATAGCAAATCAAACGCAGCAGGAATCCAGTTCTGATAGGGAGGAACTTGAGTAGTCGGAAAAATGAACGAGTAGCGGTGGACGAATTCTCTGCCTGCCGGTCCTGCAAATCAACTCTACTCCGGGCCCAATTCAGAGCTATGCTGCGAATTCGATACTTTCTTGGACCGTACATCGAGATCGGGGGATTATCGAAAGCCCGCTCCGGTTATAAAATCGGCTTCACTGCTTTCGCTAGTCGGCTGTTAGGGACTAGTTCCCTTTCCCGTTCCGACTTTATTCGAGAATCGTACACGCGGAGTCGGTGGAGAAAGCTTCTAACTCGCATCAGGATGCCTTAAATCCTTGGCTCAGGATAAAGCCAGAGTCGAGAGCTCATA